AAATGGCCTGAGACCAAGACCTGGTCTTTCCCAAACATCCTCTAACAAATCAATGTGCAGCGCTGAGGCAATAGATGAACGAAGGTTTCTGGAATATAAGCAGCACCTGCTGGGAATTGTGGGACATACTGTACCTGAATTTCTTGGAAGGAGCTGTTGAACATGGCAATGAGCATATTCAGCAAGACGATCACCATGATGATGTTATACACTCCATACAGCACATAGCCAGTGTTCTCAATGAACTTATGGTCTATATTAATGACCACTGACTTCACCTCTGACAAACCAAAGATGGCCCAGAAGAGGGTTTTAAAGCTCTCTTCAATCCTGAAGAAACAATAATGACAAACACTGTGTTTGTTCAGTGCATTCATAATAACCAGTTCATCATAAATAAGGTAGAAAACACTCACGTAGTGAATGCATCGTTGTATTTGGCTCCCAGGTAGTACGAGTACAGGTTGAACATCCCCACCATGAAAGCTACGAAGACTGTAATGAAAATCACCATGAACTTAAAGATGTCCTTTACTGTCCTTCCCAGAGAGATCTGCAGAGGACCGAAACTCTCGTTGGCAGGAAGGATGTACGCGATGCGGGAGAAACTCAGCACAACTGCGATTGCGTAGAGACCTTCCGAAATGAGCTGCGGGTCAGAGGGCATCCAGTTGATTCGAGCTGGGGAGGTTTACGCAGAACGAGAAGTGCGTTTGGTGATCGTGAGATTAGGTGTGTATTTACCTGAATAATTCTAAATGCTGCCATTAATCATTTTTAAACTCAATTGTTGTTTTAAATCTTAAAATTGTCTTACAATAACCCCAGCTGATCTCAGTCAGTGCAGATCAGATTTACATGCATTTTTACACTTATCCTTAATTATTTTTTATATTTTTGGCTTAATTTAGCTTAAGTAGTTTCTATTAATTTAATGTGTTTTTTGCAAAGTTTCATTTTTGTACTTTATTTATGTTAGTCCAACAATTACCCATGGAGTTAAAATGTTTGTGAGTCTATAGTAATATTTAATATAGTTTCCAGCTTATTAGATAAATTACCCCAAATGGCCAGATCAATTGGGAAATGCAAAATGCGGTTGATAGAAAATCATTTACATAAAAATGTAAAAAAAAGAAAAAAGAGAGGGACAGGAAATATAGAATAGTGAAAAACTTTTGCCCAATGCAGTTCTTTCCAAATGTTCTAGTTTCACTTCGGTTTATCTGATCAATGCACCCGTGCAGTACAGTACATTTTGCTGCCTGGTGGAGTAGAAGGAGGGGGGATGGGGGGGAGTAATTATTGTTATTTACTATCAGCTCTCCACTGTTTCCTCCTTTTCTCTCTTCTTGATTGGGTTTATGTTTAGTAGGTGGCTGTGAGTCAGTCGAATGTGTCTCAGTATATCAAAAAGGTCAGGGATTCATTTACAAGCTCCACTAACCCACTTACTGTATCAGTGTGTCCCTGTGCAACACACTCAAACTTTTTTTTACTCTGTAGATACAGTACATTAATCTTTAGCAGTCGCATATCAGACCAATACCCCCACTATTCAATGACATCATTATGGTAGTAAGGAAACAGATATATTGTATTCTGTTATCCGCACTTACCTTGTTGAAAATACTCTATCTCAAAAGGCAAGGTTATGTTGGCTAAGTCAGTGTAATGCTTATCAACATAACACTGGGCAGAGTGTGCGTGCCAGAAAGCCATTAATCTGGCAATGAATGAGGTCATAAATATGGCCAAAATGCTGAAGTCTAGAAGGTTCCAGGGTTCTGAAATATATTCCCGGATGTCCTGCGACCAAATGTCTTTACATTCTTCCCAGATCTTTCCTGAAAGAAAGAAATAAACCAAACAGTCAGCAAGTGTGATTCTCAGAATTTAAAGCCATGAGATCCTTTTTTGGGAAGTTATTTAAAGTCTAGTTTATCACTGTGTTGGTTTTGTAATGTCAATTTGAAATACAGAAGATTTTTCTGACATGAATAATGTTTGGGATTTATAATTCATAATAGTCTATTATATAATAATAGACTCTTCAGACAGAATTATAGCAGAATTATCAGATGTTTTCAGACCTATGACCCAGGATATAATGAGAATCTCCATCCAAGTGAAAGGAGTGGTCTTCATTCGAAAAAGCTGCGCAGGGTAGTCATGGACGGTCATATTTGGGAGGAGTGACGTTCCTGCAAAACGGTCTGCACCGTTCAGGATCAGAAGGCACAGGAATATCACGAAAGAAGCAGCGTGGGCCACAAACTTCAGGAACGGTCCACACATTAGTTTCCCTAACTGAGAGAGCAGCATTAGTTAAAAACTATTTACAACTAAATATAAAACATCTGAGAGGTGATATTTTTAAAAAAAAAAAAATTGTAAAATCTATTAAATTTCTTCAAAACATTCCAGTTTTAATTACAAGTACATAAATGTGACCACAAAAAAGATGACCTGTTCCAAATCGACACCCAGTTAAGCTGCTCAACATTATCTCATAAAGAAGAGTGATAGCTGCTCACTATGGAACTTACCCTACTTGAGGGTGCTATCCAGTACATGAAGGCCAAAAAAGGCAACCCAACAGCGACCCCAAGGACAAGAAGGATCTTGACAGCCATGTTTTGCTGGCGAAGTCCAGATAGGTTCTCATACCAGATGTAGAGAAGCTGTTGCTGGCAGTTTGGATGAGCTACAAACTGTTCACAGTGCAGACAGATAGAGATGGTAAATAGAGGATTCAGAGACGATTACAGTTGCGGATTTAGTTTTGATCTGAAAAGCTACCTTTTTAACTTCATATTTGATTGCAAGTTTCAATCTGATATGGTTCTGTTGGCCACTGGTTTCAGATTTCTGACCCAGTTCAGTGTCCCCATTCAAGATTGCCTCAACTTCTTCTGTGTTTCGACACAAGTCCAAGAGTCGCACGACAAAGTCTTTACACTGCATGGACAGTTTCTTGTAATCGTTCTGTAATAGAAACAACAGGATCTAACACTCTTTACTGATCACTAAGAAAAAAACATGCAGATCCAGATGTTTTGGTCTGCATACTAACCTACCTTGAACTCCTTCTCAATGTTGGCCAGCACAGCCAGCTCATTACTCAGCTCCAGAGCTGCCATCACAGGGTCTTCATGGTAGAGGGACAGATATGCAGGACTAGCCAGGCCTTTGTACGCATTGATACGTGATTGGGAGTGGCTGAAAGCGTCATCCCGCTGCTGTTCACTGCAGCTCCTGCACTGGCAGAAATAGTCATGTGGCCGCTCTATCCAAGCCCCTTTCAGAAGAAGCACATGCACAATCTCAAACTCGTTACACTGGGAGGCCAGGATGATTGGTGTAATGTCCTTAGAGAAACGTGTGCCGTCCTCATCATAGGCATAGAAGTCATCCTGTGTGTCCACCTGGCTTGGACTGTTTCTAAGTCTTTGTCTGTCTGAAAAGGCCTGATGAGTCAAAATGACCTCCACTATCCGTATGTAGCCTTTACTGATGGCTAACAGCAAAGCATCTCCTATTCGGGAGAGGTCTTTCTTCCTGAGCAGTAGTTTGGTCACCTCCAAGTGCTCATTAGCCACTGCCAACTGTAGTGCACTTTGACCCATGTAGTTTACGCAGTTTACATTAAGCTCTGGTAGTTCGTCCAGCATCCGCCCCACTTCAGGTATGTTACCATATTCTGCAGCCTCCAACAAAAGTTCTTCAGTCATGGAAGTGTAGGATGAAGACTGAGCACGAAAGAGATAACCAGCCCCCCGAAGTGCTTGTCTTCGAGATTTGCTTAAGGAGTGCTGCAGCGTCATGACTTTCTGTTGTTGTTCTAGATACATACAATAAGATATTTTAGATGAAATGTAATTACTTAATATAATATTATGATGTTTAATTGCAATCTAATAGCATTAGCATATTTATTAAAACAAAGCCACACAGTACAATTAAGCAACACTTCAGCAAGAACAGCATATACGGTGTAACGGCTATATTCAACATTTCACCTAATAAGAGCACATTCGCTTATTGACCACTAGGGGGAGTTCAAGTAATAAGAGTTAGGTCAGTAAATAATTTCTTTGAAAAAAAGAAATGATTGGAAAAATTGTTTTTGCGTCAATATCCCACAATTATCTCCTTTGCTTGTACCAGACCATAAGAGATGGTTTTATGTTTTTAGAGATTAGTTTCATCTGTGTTTCTAGAAGGACGTAAGCAGTGACTGGACAACAACGTGCAGTGACCAGCTGGTCGCTGTCATGTTAAAATTCTCACTACATGTGTGACGCCTCCCACGGACTCGTCATCTGCTTTCTTGGCATATAACTGTTAATTGGCTCGGACTCTGCTCGGTTGTTCAGCCATAAACCGTAAAAGTTGTACGAGGACGCCCTCCAGTGTTTACTGGTCTTCTTTAAAATTGTACTTAAGGGTGACAACTAGTCCGTTTGTTGTTCTAAAATAAGCTGTATTGTATATGAACTGAAGGGTTTGACCTCACAAAACTACACCAACATTTTCTGGTAATTTAATTTAAATAATGCTATTATTTCAGGAGCTAATTGCTTTAACACGGATAATAAGAGACTATGACAATGTTCCTCCAATCGATCATAATTAGAGTTAACAAGATTTCCAGTAACCTAGCAATTAAATTAAATTTATTTTTAAGAGTGGTAACCACATACAGTACATACTTACATTGATATGACTTGTAACTCTCCAGGCCAAAAAAAAGTAGGTTAATATATGTTAAAAATAAAATCGTGATATGATATATCACGATATATAATATATAATACTTAGTTTTAAACCATAGTATTAATTAAAACAATTAAAAGTAGCACAGAAGGGTTTTCATGGATTTTCAATGCATATTGAATTGCAGACTTTTATAGATGCATGAGTCAACAGTGTATCCCTATATAAATAGGCTGTTGCTTTTTACTGGCCTGACAACCCTCACAGAAATATTTCTATAATTGATATTTGTGATAACAACATATAGACTCACTTCAGCACTAACCTCAGAGAAGCCTGTTCACTGTCATCTTATGTAGTCAGCAAAAATCAACAATAACTTCCACCAGCGATGTGCTGCAGCCAGTAACTTAGGTCCACATCCGACTCTGTGTTCCACCTGCCACACTGTCTCACCCCATGCCCCACCTACACTGGTGCCTCTGCACAGTGGGTATTTTCCTAGCAGCTTATGGGAGGTGTTGACACAGGATATTAGCATTTTTTTAATTAAGTTTGGCTTATAACGTTTCTGATCTTCTTATTTCTTAAACTCCACTAAATGTGTGGGCAATGTATTTCAAGATTTCTTTTGTCCTAGTTTGTTCCATACGATAGAACACAGTGTGAATTCTTCACCATTAGTTCTCTATAAAGTGCCCAACACCCATAAAATGATTTGATGGAAAAGCTTTTGTCTATATAGTCTAAACAATCTGGACAAAAGCAGATTTTCCCTAAATCCTCTTAACTCCCCTCACTGTAGTCAGAAGCAACAGATAGATTTGTTATTATTGTTGTTTTCAATACATCAATAATTCCATTATTTTAATTAAAATTATGAGGAAACATTATTTTAGCTTCATATTTTAATTTCTTATTTCTTCCTCTATAATAATGTGTGGCTTTGCTCTCTTTTGAGCTCACAGAGCACAAATAGAGACCAGCTTCTTTTCCTGTTCAG